CATTACGGCCGATGCCCCGAACATGAATACATACACGTAAGCCTTGACTCTCCGCATGAGTTCTGAGAGCAAAAACAAACAAACAAAATCATCAGGAGCTGATCTGTTTCTGGGACCCCTTCTATCCGAGGCAAAAGGGTTCAGAAGCAAAATGCGGCCTCTCTCTTTCGGCCCACGGCGGTCTCCCACAAACACAACCGCAGAGACCCGGTTCGCGGCTGTTCAGCGGCGGGCCCTTCCTTCAAACACATACCTCCACACACATGCTTTCACCGAATCTTGCCGAGCACCCGCAGAAGCTGGAAGGAACGCGGTGGCGAGGAAGGGAAAAGGGAAGCTGGTTCCCCATCCTGTCCCTGGGAAGCAGGATAAGGCGAAACGTCCCCAGCCAACGTGGTGGCCTCGAGATGAGTGGAGTTACAACTTCGACCCGGTCTATAGAGGACGTCACAGCCCGTGGCCACTCTGCTTGTACTGCAGACAACAAGACGTCCGGAACTCCCACATGGGCAAACCGATGGGTGCCCAGAGGCTCCCCCCCACCCACCCAGAAACCACTCCTGCTATCATCTTTGCGCCAACTTCACATCTGGCTCCTGCTGACCAGTGATGGGAGAGTCTTTTTCCATAAGCCCCAAACTTGCCGGCAGAGCCACACTGGAAGCTTTTGCTCCCTGAAGTTGAGAAAAGCAGAGAGGGTAACCAGGGAACCGCCTGCCAGCTGGAGGGGGCCCCACGGGCAAGCCACGAGCAAGACCGGGCGGCTAAATGCAGAGGCATCCTAGGAGACATCGAAGAAAGCGAGCAGCGGCCGAAGTTCCGCGCTCGAAGACAAAAAACACAGGCTAGAAAATGCAAACGAGAGAGAAAAGCTGGCCAAAACTCAGAAGACGCCCCCCCCCTCTCCGAGCTGTGTGCATGATGCACGGTGAGCACCCGATAAACACCACGCCACATGAATTTTCCTCCAACAGGATTCCCGCCAAGGTCCTAGACCTCATGGCAGTGAAGGCATCACTAAAACCCTATAAGCTCCGGCTCCCAAGACATCTGACTGCTGGCCAGAGAGGACCGCGGGCTCATCCCTGCATCCTCCCCGGTTAGAGGCAAGCCGAAACGAAGGAGGAGGAATTGCCAAAGTCAATGATCTGCCATGAGAAGAACTGTGGAAGTTTTCTACGCTTGCTGCCCCCCCCCCAAATAGACCTGATTTCTCTAGACACAGCATTTATTTGTTATTTAAGCATGACCGACGCACAGCCTAAGCGACAAGGGACGAACGTTATGCGTGCTGCCTTAAAATTAGGTCTCTGGCTCTGGTTTAAGAGAGTTCACTAACCTAACCAAGCCAGCTCCCAGATCCAGCTGCGCTAGCAACAGCTCAAGCTGTCCTGCCCCCCCTCCTGCAATTGCAATTACGACCCCCATATCCATGGGGGATTGGCTCCAAGCCTCCCAGCGGAGGCTGAAATATGTGGATTATAGCAAACCCTATTGAATGCCCGTACATAGGATGGTCTCTGGCTCCCTCTAGTGACTAGCTCCGGTAATGACACCATTAGAAATATATATATTTCTACGATTTTTCTTTTAATATTTTCAGACCATGAATCAGTGGATATACTGATCCCACGGATAAGGGGGCCATGTCGCAAAGGGGCCTCCAACACAACTACTCCCAGCGAGCGTTTCCTGGGGAAAGCTGTGAGAACTAGCCCTCTCTATTCACTGCCTGGACACCTGCTTACGAGACCTGGACCGCTACTCTCGAGATTTCTCCTGCCAGCATCAATGACTGTCCACACGAGGTGTGGGTTTTCTGGGAATCGTAGTCCACCCCCCCCACCCCACCTCCCAAAAAACCTTCTTGCTTCTGGGTGTGACACAGGAGGGCTTGGCAGCAGCCGAACCCCTAACACTGTAGATCTCCTCCTTCCGCCCCCCCCGCCCCCCCCAGCCCAAAC